TAAACCATTATACTTAACAGTTCTGTCTGTACATTCATAGGTGTAGTGGTTGAATGAATGTGTCAGGCTTTGGGGAATCGGCTTCCTCCCCCGTGGCCGTAAATGAGCAGATCAAACGAAAGGAATTCTTACCAATTAGTTTCTTTAATAAACACAGCAAAGGACAAAAGAAAGTGTCCACCCAGAATGGCAGTGCTCCCAATTAAGCGTACACCCCCTCTGTCCCTATTTATGTCACTCCTACGTCTTGTAATCTGAGCTTGTACCCTCTGTGCTTTCTGTTCTGAAACTTTCTGGGGAGATTGGAGGAATGCTGTCCAGTGACTGTGAATCTGTTAACCCTCTCTCTTCCAATGTTTCTTCACCTAACTGTTTCCCATCCAGTATTTCCCAGCTTCTGCCTTCTGAACTATGCCCCTCTGCAAACCACTGTTCCAAATCTATACTGTCCTCCTGCTCCTGAGAAGATTCAGGAGAAGGGGGGGCTCCCACCATTCCTCAGTGAAGCCCTCCTCAGCACAGTCCCTGACAGAATGCTCTGCATGCAGAAAGTCCCAGGTTCGACCATAAGAACATAAGAAGAATCTGCTGGATCAGGCCACTGGCCCATCTAGTCCACCATATTGTTCTTCCAGCCAAATACCTATGGGAAGTCCACAAGGAGGACCTGAGCACCAACCACTCTGCTCTCCTGCAGCCTCCTGTGAAAGCAAATTCCATAGTTTCGTTATGTGCTTTGTAAAGAAGTATGTCCTTTCGCTTGTGCTGAATCTTCCAACATTCAACTTCATTGGAAGCTAGCGCCTTCTTCCTAGAAGTTAGAAGAGGAAGGAAACACAAGGCCAGCTCGATCGTAGAGAACACAGAGATGAGATCAAAGAATCGTAGAGCTGGAAGGATCCTCTAGTCCAACTCCCCTCCAAAGCAGGAATACACAGCTGTCCCGCGTGGTGATTGAACCTACAACCTTGGTGTTATTGGCACCATGTTCTATATGACTGATCTATCCAGGCCAATAGCTAACCTGTCTTCACACTGAGGCTGATATGATTTCCACTGCAGAGAGGAACGCAGCTCATTTCTTTTCCCAGCAAGAAAAGAAACCCAAAATAATCACCACACTATTGTGATGGTGAATAAGAAGGCAAAGCTTTTGATACAGCATCTGCATCAAGATGTTCTGAATGAGGCAATGGAGCAGGGGCAGGAGGGAGGATGAGACAAGTCTGAAAATACTCTTTAAGAAATGCAACATCCCTTTGCTCATGTTCAGAGTAGTGGAGTCTGAAAACGAGATTCATTCCTTCCCTTTCCCTAGTCACTGTAAGGCAGTGATAGAGAGGCAGGGAAGCAAGACAAGACCATTTATTTCTAATTACAGCTGAGAGAGAGAGAGAGAGAGAGAGAGAGAGAGAGAGAGAAATGTAAACATTTTATTTTGCATTATTAATTTACTTTATTTAGAATATTTGATTAAAGAGCTCTCTGAGAAATGGGCAAATGAAACACAGCTAAAATCCTCAAAACAACTAAGGAACAAGCCATCATTATCATCAGAGCACAAATAAGGTCAGTTAAACAAATGTAGGTAAGTAAAAGATATGCCTGGTAGGCTTACTGAAACAACAAAAAGTATCCAAAACTATATAGCAAGGGTGCCTGTCTCAAAGTCAATAGACAGCAATTACCTTTTGCTTCAGTCCACAACCCTATTCGGCAAAATGGTCTGTTTATCACTTTTTGCCAGAGCAAGGCTTTCATTTTGAACTGGCACACTCTTAACCTGAGCCTTCGTCGTTTGTTGCTTCAGAGTACAACACACATAAACAGAAAACATCTGAGAGGCGGCAAAAGCTTAGTAAATGAAAAAGGTTACTGATCATGAGATATTAGATGCTGAAATCTGAAAGCACAGCAGAAAGCTTGAACTTGGGGTGAAGGGAGAGAATGGGAAAGCTGACAAAACGCTGACACTGTATTGTCCATACCGAATTTTTTTTAAGCTACGCAACAAACCACACACTTCAGAGCCTCATGAGTCCTGGAATCTGTTCACACATTGCAGAAAAGGCAGGAATTAAACATAGTTTTAAAAGAATTAGTAATAATAATAATAATTAAAAGCATGGGCAAGAATTAAAAATGGCTTTTGCAGAGTGGGTGAGTTAACATACATAAATGTTTATACTGAGGCTGCTGAAGATAAATCTGGACCCCAGTGAGAATTCAAGCTCTGACACCACCCTGCAGAATGCAGAATGTCAGATTACAAGAGCTGTGCCGCGAAGCTTTGTTATCAAATACTTGGGGGCACAGCAGGAACGGAAAATGAAACAGTATTAAACCCACATCTGCGTGTGTGTGTGTGTGTGTGTGTGTGTGTGTGTGTGTAGCCCCAATCCTGGGGCTGAAATATCTCAGATTATCTACAAAGTTCACTAGTTAGTATGGAATATACCGTATTTTTTGCCCTATAGGGCACACTTTTTCCCCTCCAAAGGGGAAGGGGGAAATGTGTGTGCGTCCTATGGGGTGAATGCAGGCTTTCGCTGAAGCCTGGAGAGCGAGAGCGGTCAGTACGCACTGACCCCTCTCACTCTCCAGGCTTCAGGAAGCTATCCGCAAGCCTTGGGAGCCCGCGGGAGTTCACGCCGAGTAGCGCGCCCTGGGCTTTGGACAGATATCCGCAAGCCGGGGGAGACCGGTGCGACTTCCCGCCGGGCTCCCTAGGCTTGCGGATAGCAGCCTGTTCTGGGGGCTGGGGTCGGGGGAAGCTCGGGCTTCCCCCACCCCAGCCCCGTGCCTGGGGGGGGAATAAATTTTTTTTCTTTATTCCCCCCCCCAAAAAAAACTAGGTGCGCCCTATGGGCCGGTGCGCCCTATGGGGCGAAAAATACGGTAGTTCATTGAGGATGTTCTCATAATGTGTGAGGAACCCTTGGGCCCTCCAGATGTTACTGAACTACAACTCCCATCAACCTTAGCTATCGTAGCCAATGGCCAGGAATGATGGGAGAGGTAGTTCAGCAACATCTGCAAAAAGACAGGTAACAAAGGGAGTGCTAGTTTCTCGACCTAGCTGTGGATCTTATCCCTCAAACTGATAAAAAGAAATACATTTAAATGAGCTCTGCAACTGAATACCTTTTTTTTAAAAAAAAATGTGCTAACAAGTGCTTCCGAGATGAAAATTGCAAGTTCCCCGGACGCGTCTGTGAGTCAGCAGTGGCGAACAATTGAAAAGGGGTTGTAATATGTAGGAGACATTGTCACCACCTCCGTGGCAAACCAGCAGTCTGTAGCAGAAGCTATGCAGAAGCACACATATTTCAGAAGAAAAGGAAAAATGGACAAAATAATAATAGCAAGCATAAGTCCGCTATAGCAAAGTGCCACCTATACACACCAGCAGCAGTGGAGAGGGAGGCAGTGGTCAGTGGAGTGCGATTGCTCTTACCAAATGTGCCTTCATTGTAGCAAGCATTTTTCGAACAACACCTAAACTTTACGTTCAGCTTGTCTTTTGACAATGCCATGAACTTCCTCACAGAAAATTGTATAAGAGAGCAAAAGTTGGCTTCAAGAATGTAGCAGCAGAGTACAGATAATCATGTCAGCATGCTACATCTGCTTGTTTGAGTTTATCTAGGGCAGCATCCTTTGAGCTGGCAAGGAGCTGAAAATATCCCTAAGCATTTAAAGCAAAAGATGGACACATTTGCCAAAAAAAGAGGCAAACTTTCCCTATCAAATCATTTTCACCTGATTCAGCCATACGATGATCTGAGTGCCTTCAGAAAGTCATTGACATTTCATGCAACTATCAATGAAAATAAAGCCAGCTGATATAAACAGTTAATGAAAGGATACAATTGCTATATTCAATAAAGAATCCCATCTTTCAGAGACATGTTCCAGGGATGTTTAAGAGCGCTAAACATTTTCTGTGTTGCACTTCATGCACGAAAAGGATTGAAAGAGTTTCTAGCCGATCCACACTGCAAGCAAAGAGGACCCAGAGCCTATTCATGACTGATTTTTCAGACTCACCCAGAAGGAGGGAGGGAACCTGCCCTTTCCCCCAGCGCTTCCCATACTCCTGTTTGTACACTACAGAGATTAATCATGACCATCTGGATGACTGATCGATCAAGAGCTGCTTGGCTCCCTCCAAAATGGCACTACATATTTTGCAGGAAGTTAACCAGCAAATTTTGGTGTGTGCAACTGAAGTGGATTAAAGTGTTTGTATGTAACAAGAGAGGGACGCGGGTGGCACTGTGGGTTAAACCACAGAGCCTAGGACTTGCCAATCAGAAGGTCAGCGGTTCGAATCCCTGCAATGGGGTGAGCTCCCGTTGCTCAGTCCCTGCTCCTGCCAACCTAGCAGTTCGAAGGCATGTCAAAGTGCAAGTAGATAAATAGCTACTGCTCCAGCGGGAAGGTAAACGGCGTTTCCGTGCGCTGCTCTGGTTCGCCAGAAGCGGCTTAGTCATGCTGGCCACATGACCCAGAAGCTGTACACCAGCTCCCCCAGCCAATAAAGTGAGATGAGCGCCACAACCCCAGAGTCAGACACGACTGGACCTAATGGTCAGGGGTCCCTTTACCTTTACTTATGTAACAAGAACATTTAAAAAAAAAAAAACTGGACTTTTGTGCTAAGGAAAATGATGGGAAATGATGGGATAACAACAAATTGATGGGATGTCCTATAAAACCCACGCAATCAAATCAGAATGAATAAACAGTAGACAACACATAACCTCTGTGCAAGGTTTGTGCAAACAAATCAGGACAAATGTTTAATAAACAGGTCATCTGGAAGCACACCTTGAGAATATTTTAAAAAACATAATTAATATTCTACATGTGAATTTGAAGTGCCTTTCCTCTATGCTGGAGTGCTAGCCATCATGTCTTGTGGAATCATAGAATTGTAGAGTTGGAAGGGACCATGAGGAACATCTGATCCAAACCCCTTCAATGCAAGAATCTTTCGCCCATCGTGGAGCTCAAACCCATGACCCTGAGTTTGAGTCTCATGCTTTACCGACTGAGCTATCCATAGACAATGGGCCGTTGCTTATATTCTAGACACATTTATAATTACTTGGGGGGGGGTTAACTGGATTTAATTAGAATGGACATGTGATAGTATTAACAGCTTGTCTTAATTTGTAGGGCACCATCTTGAGCATCTAGGCTACACTCATAAAAGATACATACTTTTTTGGGGGGGAAGTGTTATTGAACTCAATGGGGCTTCTATCCAAGGGTGCCTCCAGACTGTCACTATGCTGGGCAAGAGATTCCAATGCATAACCAGCTATTAAGGTTTGCGCAACTCAAGTGGATTAAACTGCTCTGTCACTCTAGCAAACAAATCCACTTAAAAAGAAACCCGGATATTTTGTGTGAGGTAAGATGGCGCCTGGCACACTTCCCCTGTGCCTTTGGACGCTTGTGCCGATAGAAAAAACTTGAGCTCTTAGCTCTTAGCAGAGTTCTTAGCAGCGTAGAAAGTGTTGCCTTGTGTGTGGATAATAAATCAGACTGAACGCAGGCTTCTTGCTAATCTCTAACAGCCCTTAATGAGAAGAAAAACATCATAAATCAGCCCGGCGAGAGAGCGGACATTCTTTCGTCTCTCAGCCAAAAACGAAAGGAAAACTCACACACAAAGAAAAATTCCCGTATGTGAACCAAACCACGCCTCAGAATGTGAGACGTCACACAGAACTGTTTAACCCTGTAAGTTCTGATTCTCCTCACACCCCCTCTCATCTCGCATCCTGAGGGAAACTGTGAGTATAACTCACCCCAAACACAACCCTTCACAGAACTCCCCATGTCACTGGAAGGTCAAGGGTTTGGTAAACCCATCAGCTAGCTTCTCCCGGCTCGAACAATACTTGAGCCGTATCCAACCTGCCTGGACACTCTGACATACTTTCTGGAATCGTATGTCCAAATGCTTGGTTCTGGACTTGAACTGTCCTGATTCTGCCAACCTAAGACAAGGTTGATTGTCTCCCCAAACAGTTATGGGCAAGTAACAATCCCCACAGATCTCTTGGATCAAGCACCGGTAGAAGTCCAACTCCCTGCACAAATCCGACAACGCACTGAACTCAGCCTCAGTGGAAGAAAGTGCAATAAGACTTCCGGGGGCGGCGCGAACGGCAAATGGCGGTCCTCTTCTGAACGGGAGAGGAGGCTCCACAGACAACGGGTCGTCCGCTACGGCGAAGCGGAGACCCACATCGGAAAACCCCAGGCAGCAAGAGCTTGGGGTCTTGGGGCTCGGTGGGCGCCTTGAGCGACCCTCCAACGCGAAAGGAACCCCGTAAGGGGCTCCGGAGCGTGGAGGGGGGTTGCGGCGCTGAGAGCTGCTTCACAGTCTGTGGAGCGAAGCCGCGCTGCTGCTGCCGGTGAGCGCTGATCCCTTTTCCTGTCAAAATACGGATTCGGATGAAAAGCAACTTATTCGTGAGTAAAGACTGAATTACTTGAAATTAGAGACTTTAAATGAAAAATCCTAATTGGCTTGAAGAGACGGAGAGACGTGGAAACAGGAAGTCCGTCTTCCGCAGCCATTGAACTTGAAAAAAGCAACGAGCTGGAGGAGTGGAGGCTGAAAGAAAGAGATTTTAAACTTTACAGATCTAAGCATCTACTGAACTTGCAATTGAAGGTAAAGACTTTAAGTTAAAGATTTGGAATTATTACTTGCACTTGACTTTCCTCCTTTTATTGGATTACAAATTAGAAGGTGAAACCCAGAGTCAGGAGCTGCCTGAGCATTGAGAGATTGAGCTGTCAGTATTGCAGATTTGGATACTGTATATTGGAACTTGCAACAATCTGAGGGTATTGAGACCTTTTAAATTTGAAACATTCTTTTCGAGACAAATAAGCACTGTCTGTAACAAAGTGACCATTTATAAACTCTGCTAAACATTTGTATCTGAAGGTTCTTGGATATTAAATTAGACTCTGAAAGACATTTTAGGCTCCCTCTAGAGGATTGGATTAAAACAGTGACTTTACATGTACATTTACTTTTGATTCCCTTGTTGTTTGCCGCTCTGGGCCTTTCCATTCCCATGGGAAAAACTCAGTGTGACCTTGACTGATAGATAACGTTGGAATGAGTGGCACAAGAAAAAGAGGGAGAGTTAGACAAACAACTTTAACAACTCTAACCTCAGCCTCGCAGACACGTAGATCATCTGTACCTACTTTGCCCTCAGAAGTAGAAGTTGAAGAAGTTGCCTTGTTACAGGCAAAAGAGGGAGAGGGTGAAGCAGAGCAGTTACAATTGGAAGATATGGCCTCAGGAGTATCTGTTTCTGTTCTAGACAAAATCTTTGAAAAATTGGAAGCTTTGGACAAGAAAGTAGATGTGCAATCAGCAAAGATTGACAAAAATACAGAATGTCTAAATAAATTAACCATACAAGTGGTACAGAATACACAAGCAATTGGACAGTTAACGGAGGCCTCAGCAGAAAATCGGAAATTGGCTGAGGACACCAGACAAAAATTAGAAAATTTAGAGCAAGAGGTAAGACCACTTACTAAACAAGTTGGGGAACATCAGATTTATCTTTCTATGATAGAACTGCGAAATCGTGAGAACAATCTGAGGATTAGATCATTACAAGAGGCAGAAGAAGGAAATTTAACTGAATTTTTGACCAAAGAATTCTCCAAGTTCTGGAATTTGGAAGAAAAGGACTTTAAAATTGTGTCAGCTTTCAGACTTGGAAGATTCATAAAGAAGGAGAGGCCCAGAGACTGTTTGATAACATTGAGATCAAAGGAGGAAAGGGATAAGATTTTGGGCCTACATTACGGAAAGTCACTGGAGGTTTTGGACAGAAGAATTGAAATATATAAAGATATTCCAAGACAACTGCTGGATCTTAGAGCCGCCTATTCTGAACTTGCTAAACTACTAAGGAGCAACGCAATTCCATTCAGGTGGGAATTTCCCCAAGGAATATCTTTTACTTTTAGAGGGAGAAAGGTCAAAGTTAGAACATTGGAAGAGAGAGACAAATTTTTGACTACATACGGAGAGGACCTTCAAAAAGGAATTGAATTACCTTCTGGGCCTGGGGCAACGCCAGCATTAACACCAGCACCTGGGGAACCTGAAGATTCAGAGAAGATACCACCCCTGGAGAAATAACCAGATTGATCCAGGATGTCTCTGCAATTGCTGAGCTGGAATATTAATGGTTGTAACATTCCGGAAAAAGGAAGAAAATATTTCACATATTAAAAAAGAACAATTGGACATTATCTGTTTACAAGAAACACATGTGACGAGGCTCCATAGAAAAGTGTTAATAAATAAAAGATTGGGCCAGGAATTTGTATCGTCGGACAAAGTTAAGAAGAGAGGCGTGGTGATATATGCAAAGAGAGCCTGTCACCTAAATTCTTATTTAAAGATGAACATGGAAGAATCTTGGCTATTGAGATACAATATCAAGGAGAGAAACTGTTGATATTAGGAATCTATGCACCTAATGAAGGGAAATCGGAATTTTACAAGAAGCTGCAGGAGACAATGCTGGACTATCTGGATTACAACAACATCATAATGATGGGAGATATGAATGGGGTCGTATCAACTAACATGGACAAGTCACAAAGTCAAAATGTTACAAAAGACGGCAGACTACCTAAAACCTTTTTTGAAATGACTGACAATATGGATTTGATTGATATTTGGAGGACAAAGAACCCACTAGGAAGAGAGGGAACATTCTTTTCTGAAGCCCAACTGACCTGGACAAGAATCGACCAAATATGGATTTCTAGAGGCCTGGCACCTAAGGTCAGAAAAGTGGAAATCTGCCCAAAGACCTGTTCCGACCATAATGCAGTAAAGATGGATATGACACTACTACCAACTGGATCCTTTAGATGGAAGATGAATGACAATTTGTTTAGAGACCAGGAAATTACCAAGAAGGCCCAAAAAGTCTTGAAGGATTACTTTGAGATAAATATGAATACTACGGTGGAAAAAGAATCGTCTGGGACGCAAGCAAAGCTGTAATGAGGGGATTCTTGATACAACAGAATGCAGTAAAGAAAAGAACACAAAATGAGAAAAAGATAAGATCTTGGATAAAATAAAAGAATTAGAGAAGAAATTAAGAGTGAATCCGAAGTCACAGCCAACTCTGAGAGAAATTAAACTTTATCAAACACAATACTCTAAATTGATAAATCAGGAAATTGAATGGAAGGTTAAATTAATGAAACAAAAAACGTTTGAGTCGGCGAATAAATGTGGAAAACTGCTAGCTTGGCAGTTGAAGAGAAGACAAAGATTAAATACGGTTACAAACTTAGAGGTTGATGGAAAAATCATTCAGAATCCAGTGGATATTAGAAAGTGTTTCCAGAGATATTTCAAAAACTATACACCCAAGGGCCGCAAGACGAAGTTGAGATTAAACAATTTTTGGCAAGAAAATAGGACAATCCTGAACTCTAAAATAACACGACAGGAGATTGAACAAGCCATCCAGAACATGCAACTCGGCAAATCTCCAGGGCCAGATGGGCTGACCTCCAAGTACTATAAGACATTAAAAGACTATTTGATACAACCTTTGATGGAGGTCAGCAATGAAATTATGGAGGGGAAGAGGGCACCGGAGTCGTGGAAGGAAGCGTTTATCACATTAATACCAAAGTCGGAAGCTGAAAAGACACAACTTAAGAACTACCGTCCCATCTCCCTTTTAAATGTGGATTACAAAATATTTGCAGACATTTTGGCAAGTAGATTAAAAAAGTTTTAAATGAAGTAATTCATAAGGACCAGGCCGGCTTTCTCCCAGGTAGACATCTGTTTGCTAATACAAGGAACATTATTGACATTTTGGAACTTTTGCAAACAGATATAAATACAAAAGCAGTTTTAATTTTTATAGACGCGGAGAAGGCCTTTGACAATATCTCCTGGAAATTTATGATGGGAAATTTAAAAGAGATGGGAGTGGGACGGGGTTTTGAGAATGGGATTGAGGCGATATATTCAGAACAGAA